TAAAAATTGTCAAAGTTGAAATTTATAATAAAAACATAGTAAGTGGACTCAAACTTTTGAAAGCAACTGTATATACTGTTTCCATATTCTTCTTATTGTATGGTTAGAATTTCTCTTGGGTTTTCTATGTTGAATATGATTTCTTTGCTGATTGATATTGTCAAGATTTCTTTTTTTACTTGTTCATTCTAGATATAGTTGTTAGTTATTGTTTTTCTAACTTCAATGCTACTTGGGTTTTGAGAGGTTAATTATTATTCATTATTGAGATTATTAGTATATTTTCTGATTTGATTTCTTTTCTCAAGACTATTTTTTCTTTATTTTTATTGTTTTCTTTCTGATATTCAGATTCAATTCTTTATATATATTTCTTATATTACTTTTTGCCAAAATATTTTTATTGTAGTTGAATTGTCATGAACTATATTGTTTTCTAGATTCTCTTTAAGAACTCATCTCTTTTATTCACTTCCCCACCCAAAATTATCAAAAAAGAAAGTTTTTAAGAAGAATAGATCTGCAAAAAAAGATTTTTTTTTATCAAAGTAATTATATTTATAAAATATATTTCTTGAAATATAATATGTTTTTATATTTTTTATTTATATATATATTTATGATTAAAAGTTATAGTATTAAAAAAGATTGATTAGTTTTATTATAATATTGTTATATATTTTTATTTGATCTATATTCTATTGTATATTAAAAATTTTAATTGAATTTAATTATCAAAAAATGTTTAGTTCCCATTTAAGTTATTTATTTGTATATATAATGGCTATCAATTGTCATATTTGTTATATTAATATAAAAATGTTAATTATTTCTTTATATTTGACTAATATTTATTATATTTCTATAAACTTTATATTAAGAAAAATATTATATATTCCAATACTTATTTTTTTATTTAATTTGAAGAATATAATTATTATGTACTTTAGATATATATTTTTTATGGTAAACAAGATAATATTAATATTTTTTCTATAATATGATAATTATTAAAAATAATAATTATATATTTGTTCTTTTCTTTACTCTTGTTGTAAGCAAAGAGTAAACTAGTTAAAGAATCAATACTCTTAATTATATATATTCTAACTTAATATTTTTCTTGGAATTGCAAAGGTCTTAATTCTAGTTTTAAATCTTTTTTTAATAAATTTAACTATGCTATTAAATAGGAATTTTAGTTTGAGTTTATCTGATTTATTTTTTGCTATGTTTTATTTAAGTATAACCTTTTGCCAATTCTTTTTGCTATATTAATTTACTTGTTTGCTATTGTTTAATTCTTTTATTTTTATATTGAAATCTTTAAAGTTTGATATATACTTTTGGATTTTTTGACTATTATCTTGTCTAGAAATTGAAGTGATATAGTTCAATAGATAGTTATTATTTAATGTATTTAAAGGAATTCTTTTTTTATTTGTTTACTTTATAAGAGTGACAATTCATTATTTTGCTTCTTAATTCCAGCTTTTTTGTTTAGATTAGTAATTTTATTGTTATCTAGATAATATTTTTGTTCATTTTTGAGATTTTTTTTTAATGGTGTTTCTTTTTCTTCTCTTATATTTTTCTTGTTAAGTTTTTCTTTCTTTATATATATATTTTTTGCATAACAATTTTGTGCTACTTTTTCTAATATATTTGATTGTAATTGGATTTGCCCTAAGCATATAACCTTTTTTGTTCTCTTGAAGAACTCATCTCTCTATTCACTTTCTTCTTTCTTTTCAAAATTGTCTAAAAAGGAAATTTTAAGAAAAAAGGATTTGCAAAGAGTTTTTTTTTAAATACAGTGAATGATCTTATAATAAAAATATTAAAGTTTTATTTAAATTCGATAATTATTTATTAAATTACAATAAAAATATTAGTTCAAAAACTTTTATACCGAACTGTTTATCAGAAATTATTGTTATAAATTAAGAATATTAATTTTAAAATTGATTGTTTATTAGTAATACTTATGTTTAATTAGATATATTTTTATATATTAAAAATCAATACACAAGTAAACCAAAATATAATAAACAATATTAGTTAATAGCATATTGTTTACTAAAACAGTAAAAAATTTTCGTACAAATACGTATAGAGCCTAAACGTCAATAATATTGGTGATCGTGACTAATACTTCGATCATCAACTAAAATAGGCTATTTGTACAAAGTTTCTTTTATCTAAAGTTGAACGTATCACGTATAGCATTTAACGTGTCACGACATTAATTTAACATTGATTGTCATACGAAAACCATCTCTTATCGAGAGTTGACCACTGCGATTGTAAATAAAGTGCGAAATATTCAATTTACGTCAAAGTATGAATAGAATAAAACTTGTTCTAGTTGGCGACGAAGCTGTTGGAAAGGTAGAAAGAGAATTTTTTAAAGTCTTTATATTAAAATCGAAATTTATAATTGACTGATTAATTTTATTTTAGACTGCACTTGCGATGTCTCATATACATAGAGAAATTCCACCCTCTTATGAACCCACAGTAGTTATTATACAGTATACTGCATAATATTAATCTTCTTTTTTTTCATGTACTGTAATTGATTTACGTTTACAACCGTGTAGGTTTTCGATAATTATTTTACCACTGTGAGAGTTGATGAAAAAGAAATCCAATTGCCCTTGTGGGATATATCAGGTACATATTGTATGTTGATTAAAACTTTATAAAATAACACTGATTTGTTTTTACTCTTCATTATAGGAAGGTCATCGCGATCATGAACGTCTCCGTCTCCTATCCTATACAAATGCAGATATTTTTCTCGTCTGCTATTCTGTAGATAATCCAGATTCCCTTAAGGATGTCAAAGAAAGGTGGTTTCCAGAAATAAATCGCCATTGTCCGGGAATTCCATTTTTGATCGTTGGAACTAAGATTGATTTGCGAAATGATTCTATAATAGTTGAGAAGTTATTACGTCAAAATAAAAGTCCTATAACAGTAGAGCAGGGCGAAATGCTCGCTCAAGAATTGAAAGCGGTTAAGTATGTTGAGTGCTCTGCTTTATCACTAAAAGGGATAGACACCGTCTTCTACGAAGCGGTTTGTGCAGTTTTAGGACAGTGAGTTATTAAAAGAAGCAATTTTATAAGGATTACAGATAAAGGATCATTATTGTTTGCTTATGAAACATCCATATATTATTGTTTGAAATTTTTAAAAATTATATTTTGTACTTTTCAAATTTTAACTTTTATAAAAGAAAAGACAGCAACTGTGTTCGTTGATCAAAAATCTATAGACATATATATGGAACCTGAAAATAAGTATAACTAATTCATTAATAATTCGGGAGACAAACTCGTTTGTATGAAAGATGGCCCGCCCGATCTGTGGTCGAATTAATGTGACGATTACATTAGAATTTGCAAGAAGTTAAATATTTCAAGTTTTTCTTTTATAAATCATTTGAGTGAATTTAAAATTATAAGTGAAATAATTAGCTTTTGTCCCTGACATAATTTCATAGATATACTGTACATATCGTAAAATATCAATAGACCTTAATTTTTGGCGTTACAATAAAGTTAACCTTATCACAATATTAATGTAGTAGTTAAAATATTTAATATAGAGTGATGCTCAACTTTTTATAAGAACTTTGCATTAATTATTCACTAATACTTAAATTTTGGGGGATAATATGCGTATCTTTATTTTTTTTTGTTATACTAAATAGAACTACAAATATAAATAAAGTTTTTTATTAAATATTATATCATTTAATTATACGTAATGCATACTTTTGTACGAGTGATGTTTAGGAAAACCTGTAAATTAGAGACTTTGATTAATTGGTTGTGAGTTGGTCGACAAAATAATTCTCAATTTACCTTAAATAATATATTATTTGTATCTGTTCATTCCAGTTGAGGGTTCTGCTGCGACGTAGTTTGTTTAAAATAAGGTATGTGTGACTTTAGTGGTTAGTGGGTTCTACGTATTGGGTTGCTAGTGTAAATAACTGGTTTGATGTTTTGCGACATCAAAAAAGGTTGAGTGTTGTAGTAAAATGTATTTATATATTGGTGAGGGTGTGAGAGGAAAAAAATTGTTCAAATTGTTGAGTGCATTAGTGGTATAATTTATAATATATTTCTTCCTTTTGTTTTACTATATTGTTCATTTTAATTAATTCTGGGGCGCTACTTAATTCTTTGGTGCTTATTTTGAGTGAAGGCAGACCTATTTAATTTGAAACTCTTTCGTTTTACTTATATTTCTGCATTGATGGTTAAAAATCTACACTTGAACTTATAAACTGAGTTAGAATGATAATTATTTTATTTGTACCTATAGGCCATCAAGGAATTTTATAAAATTAAATTTAAAATATAAAATTATTTTTAATTATTTATAAAATTCTATTAATATATTATATGTTTTTTAACTTTAAATGGAACAAATAATTTATTAATAAGATATAAATTATCTTTTCTTAAGAAAATAAATTAAAAATATTTTTATTAAAATTTTAAAATTGTTTATTTGACAATAAATATTTATTAAATTCTTAAATTACTTAGTGTAAAATATACTCAAGTATTGTATATATAAAATCCAAGTTAAATTAAATAATATATTAACAAAATTATTCTAAACCAATACTTTTAAGTTTAATTATTAAAATAATATAGAACTTTATAAGTACTTGAGCTAAATATTTTACTAATATCTATATTATTGCAAAAAATGATTAAAGTTATCTTTTCTTTATAATACTTAAAAAGAATAAAAATATATATAAGTTAAAAAAAAGAAAAATTAAACAATTATAATTTTTTTTTAATCTATAACTATGTCATATGACTTATTCTTTATTAAAAAGTTTATGTAACTATCTACAATATTACAGATTTTTTATATAATAATTAACTTACATTATATTGAAATACTCTAAGTAAAATTAGATGATAATATTTTACTTTTCTAAAAAATTGATATAAAATTTATCTTTATTTCTAGATTCATTATCAATAATTTTTCACTGTAAATTATTTGAAAACTATAAATTGTTAAGTTAAAAAAAAAATAAAGAAAGAAAGAAATATAGTTAAGCTTTTTCAACAAAATCTACAAACTAAACAATTATCTCTTAAAGATATTTGTTGAAAGAGATTTTTTAATATTACTTATAGTATTGGATAAATCAATCTAATTAGATTTATTATTTAGGCAAATACTAAATTAAATAGCTCAAAAGAAACTTAAAAATCTTAACTTTTAATCAAAAAAGTCTTTTAATCATCTAAAAAACTTACTTAAAAAAATAAGTTTTATAATTTATATTATTCATTTCTTATTATTTAATATCTTAAATATTTTATTTGAGAACTTAAGACTTTTGAAAGAAAATGATTTTCAGATTTTTTTTTTTTTAGTTACAACTACAATGACATTATCAGAATATATGAATATAATCAATAAAAGTTTATTAATATTTTATAAACTAATATATTTTATATTAATCAAATACTTTTAATAAAAATTTATATTATATTAAATTTAATCAAATTGAGACAAATAAAAATTTTAGAAAAGCATGAAAATAAAAGCTTTAAAAAGGTTAAAACAGTTAAAAAAGAGAAAAATAAGTCTTGTATTATAATAAAATTTTAATAATTTTTTACATTAAAGGTTGAAAAAATTTTTAGATACTTTATAGTTGATTTTTTTCCTTTGAAAACTTTTTTATCATTGATATTAAAAGTGTTATTTAATTTTTTAAATTACAAAAAATCAAGTTTTTAAGTAATATGGTTTATAAATAAGTGAAAAATAATAAATTAATTATTCAAATTATATTTCAAGTTGTTTTAATAAAAGTATTAAATCTTTATTAGTAAAGAAATAAAAAAAAAACTTTTTATAATTTTTTTATATATAATTAAAAAATTAATAAAAAAAGTATTTTTTATAATCTTTATTTCTTATAATTAATATATTATTGTTATAAACTAATTAGGAAAGTCTATCACTAATCTGTAGTACCTTATATAATCCAAATAACTAGCAATATTTACAACTGTTACAAAGAAGAGAATATTTTCTGTAAAGAATACTTAGGAAAAACAAAGATATAGTAATTAACTTGACTAAGGGTAAGTGTCTCTTTATTTATATTCTGTTTCTTTTATATAATACTAATTCTTATTTCTATTCATAATGAGAGCTGTTTTTCTAACACATTCAGAATTATCTTCTCGACTTATACTGGTAGGCTATTTATACTTTTCTAACTAACAATGAACTATCTACTTTACAATAGACTATGCTAACTCTAAACTTTACTAAACTTTTCATACTTAATCTAATACACATATAGTTTACTTATTAGTACCTGTATCTCAATTCATAGTTTTTTATTTCGTGATACTCAATCTTTTATGCAGACCTTTAAGTTTTTAAGTTCTAGACCATTACATATAAATTATAAAATATATATAATCTCTAATACTATATAAAAAAATAAAAATAAAATAAAAATAAAAATATTAATACACTTTAAAAATTTTGTACTTGCTAAAATCTTTTTTGGATAAATTAATATTCTATAGAAATATTTTTTTTAATTATTTAAAAAACATATTTATTAATTAAATTAATATAAACAAAAAAACTCTTTTCCACAAAAAAAAACTCTTTCCCGTAACCATCTCAAATCTTAAAAATTTCTTTTTTTGGAAATTTTTGAAAAAACATCAAGGAAAGATGTTTTTCGCAATGGAAACCCCAAGACCACAACCAATGTCCCAACAAGGACTGAACGCACAATAAGGTATGAGAAAAGAATAAGCAAAGACAATGCCCCATAGAGAACCCAACTATATACAAAGAAGCCCAACCTAGAGACCAACAAGTTGCAAGCCACTCAGCAAGCAACCAATAAACAAAAAACTGAACAATCCCAACCAACAACACAGCAAGAAGCCCTCAACCCAATCATTGAACCAGAAAAATCAAATAGTCAAGCAACCACTTCCTCTTTATGAAGCGATTTAGTCGAGCAAGAAGACGGACAAGAAACCCACAACCAACCAACCCAAGCTGAAGGATTCAACACTCCGAGAAGTAAAATGGCAAGGATTGATGATACAGACGAGGAAATGGGCACAGAAGACCAGGAAGACTCAG